AAATAGGCAAAAAGTTCTGAACAGACAACCCATCAAAGAAGATATACAGACAGCAAATAAGCAAATGAAATAATGCTTTCCTTCTTTATATATATATATATATATATTTTTTTAAACACTTGTGCCATCCTGCACTGCTTTCCTAGGCACATTAGCAGAGAGCTGGATCAGAAGAGGAGCAGCCAGGACTCAAGCCAACACCCATATGGGATGCTGGCACCACAGTGCCGGCCCCTGAAATGATGTTTTATACTATGAGATACCACTACAAACCTATTAGAACAGCTAAAATTTTGTCACAAATTCATACTGCCAAATGCTGGCAAGGACACGGCACAACATGAACTCACATTCATTGCTGATGGCCAAGCATGATGGTACAGCCACACTGAAAGACAGCTTGGGGCCGGCGCCGCGGCTCAATAGGCTAATCCTCAGCCTGTGGCGCCAGCACCCCGGGTTCTAGTCCCAGTCGGGGCAGCGGATTCTGTCCCAGTTGCCCTTCTTCCAGTCCAGCTCTCTGCTGTGGCCCGGAAGGCAGTGGAGGATGGCCCAAGTGCTTGGGCCCTGCACCTACATGGGAGACCAGGAGAAGCACCTGGCTCCTGGCTTCGGATCAGCGCGGTGCGCCGGCCATTGGATGGTGAACCAACAGAAAAGGAAGACCTTTCTCTCTCTCTCTCACTGTCCACTCTGCCTGTCCAAAAAAAAAAAAAAAAAAAAAAAAAGACAGCTTGGCTGTCTCTTACAAAGCTAAAAACAGTCTTACCTAACGATCCTATTATCTCACCCCAGGCACCTACACAAATTAGTTAAAAACTTAAACCCACACAAAAAGCCTGCACATGAATGTTTACAGCACCTTGCTCACAATTGCCAAAACTTGGAAACAACCAGGATGTCCTTCATGGTGAACAGAAAATCAACCAGCTGTACATTCATACAACAAAATATTATTTAATGATTAAAAATAAACTATCACTCCACAAAAAAACATAGAAGAATCTTAAATATATTAGCTGAAAGAAATCAATCTGAAAGAGCTACAAACCCTATGATTTCGAATGTATGACCCGCCGGGAAAGGCAACACTATTTAGACAGTGAAGATCAATAGTTTGGGAGGAAGGAAAGTGATGAACAGGTGAAGTAGGGGGGATTTTTAGGGCAGTGAAAATACTCTGTATGATACTGTAATGGTGAAAATATGTCGTTACATAAAACAGAAAGAATGAACTCTAGTGCAAACTATACACTTTAGTAAGAACTGCACCACAATAATGTAAAATGTTAAAAACAAGGAAAACTATATACAGAGGAGAAAGGAGATACTTGGTAATTGCATTATGCTCAATTTTCCATAAATGTTACAATTTGCTGTAAATCTGCAACTTCTCTAAAAAACAAAGTTTATCAATTGAAAACCAAAAAAAATTCAATGAATTCTTTTATAAAACGACATAAGGAAGAGCACAGCACAATTTAAAATTCAAAAGTCTAAAGAGAAAAAGATAAATTTGACTACATAACTCTTAAAAGAACAACAATGTAATTCAAAAGATAAATAATCAACTTGGGGAAAAAATTCTACAGTTTTTCCTTTGTGTAAGGAGAGCAACCAAAAATTAATGAGAATTAAAACACAATAGAAAAGTGAGCAAAGAAATGAAGCAACAGTTCAATTCCCTGTCTACAAGCACTGTGCAACTCCAACAGAGGACACATAGAGAAAGAAATTGCTTGTCAGCAAGGTGCATCTCAAAAGGATGCCTTAGCACACGAAATTAGGCTGATAGAGTGAAAGACATTTTTATTCCTCATGGCAGTCCTCAAGGTTCTGCTGTGATAGGGAATACCATTTGGCATAGTTTTTAACAATCTAAATCTCATTACTGGAAAATTTCGTGAATTACTGTGTTCCACAAGTCATTTTCTTACATTTTAAACAAAAATGAGGACACTGCCTCTTCAGAATTCTATTTCTGGGGCCAGTGCTATGGCATAGTAGGCTAAGCCGCTGCTCGTGGTGTCAGCATCCCATATGGATGCCAGTTCTAGTCCCTGCTGCTCCACTTCCAATCCTGCTCCCTGCTAATGTGCCTGGGACAGCAGCAGAGGACGGCCCAAGTACTTGGGCCCCTGCACCCACGTGGGAGACCTGGAAGAAGATCCTGGCTCCTAGCTTCAGATCTGTTCAGTCCCAGCTATTGTGGCCATTTGGGGAGTGAACCAGTAGCTGCAAGACTTTTCTGTCTCTCCCCTTCTCTGTCTGTAACTCTGCCTCTCAAGTAAATAAATAATAAAAGTGATTCTACTTCCTTGATACTTCCCATTTTTCTCAGTTCTTCTTCCCTTAAGTGTTGGTGTTGTCCTAGAACACTCTCCAGATAACATTTATATGTTGACAACACCTAGATGTGTATTTCACAGGGTTCTAATGCCTAACTATATCTGAAAATGGACATGACATTCACCTTTCTAAAGTAGACGCATGTTCTATAAACTTGCTCTCCTTTGCCTACTTCAGAAGGAGACCACAGTGGTCTTCGGGTAGTGTGGGTGGGAAAGGAAATAAATCAAGGATTAACTCAAGCTCGTAGTTTTGTTGACTGTTGACAAATTAACTACTACAAAATCCAAGTAATTTTACCTCCTAAGCATTAAAAATCAAGTCCCCTCTGCTGTCTCTACCTCCGTAGAATACAACAGCCACACAATGGTTTCTATGAGAAGAGTAATACCCATGTATTGGAACTTACAAGTCTGTCTCACATCCATCAGAAAGCTCTCTCAGAGACTCATCTGATCACTTGCCTGCCTACACTGTTTGCTAATCAAGTGTTGAAATGGTCAACTAGAACTGAATAGCAAATTAAACGTAACAATCAAGACTTTATTTATGGGGCCGGCACTGTGGCATAGCAGGTAAGGCTGCCGCCTACAGCATCCCATATGGGCTCAAGTCCCGACTCTCCACTTCAGATCCCGCTCTCTGCTGTGGCCTAGGAAAGCAGTAGAAGATGGCCCATGTCCTTGGACCCCTGCACTCTTATGTGGGAGACCCAGAAGAAGCTCCTGGCTCCTGGCTTTGGATTGACACAGCTCTGGCTGTTGCAGCCATTTGGGAAGTGAATCAGTGGATGGAAGACTCTCTCTCTCTCTCTCTCTGTCTCTGTCTCTGTCTCTCTGCCTCTCCTCTCTGTAAATCTGCCTTTCAAATAAATAAATAAATCTTTAAATAAATAAAAAGACTTTATTTACAGGGTCAGCACTGTGGGGTACTAGGTTATGCCTCTGCTTCCGGCATTCGCACTGCTAACTGGTGCTGGTTCAAGTCCCAGCTGCTCCACCTCCAATCCAGCTCCCTCAAATGGCCTAGGAAACAGTGGAAGATGGCCAAGTTCTTGGGTCCCTGTACCCACATGGGAGACCTGGATGAAACTCCTGGCTCCTGGTTTCGGATCGGCCCAGCTCCACTAATGAGGGCACTTGGGGAGTGAACCTTTCTCTTTCTCTCTCTCTCTGTAACTCTGCCTCTCAAATAAATAAAAATCTTTAAAAAGAAAAAAAATACTTTTGTTAGCTACTGTGACAGTGCAGGCAAGACATAAAAGAGGCACTGGCTCCACAAGGTTCTATTTTTCATCTAACAGGATGGCCAACTGGCAAGGGTCAGATGGAAGATGGATACAGCGCAGACAGAAAGAGTCACCTCATTCCAAGGAACTCCCCAAAAGGTTCCCTTCCTCTTTATGGGTCACTTGGCAGAAGAAAAGATGCAAAAGCTAGGAGTGGAAAGGAACTGACTAAAAGCTGAGAAAAACACTTGTGCCAGCGACCTTCGTTAAGGAAGGCTTAGTGAACTACCAAGGTTCATCCCCATCTCTGATAAAGAGGCATCTGGGCTGGGAGCACAGGTGTGCAGGGGAGCATGGTTGGTCTAAAGGATCATAATGGGGGAGGCCCAAGTCTTTGGCCCCAGTTTTCATACGGCACTGGCTGTTCACCAAGTCTGGTGTGATGAGAGCACTTTTGCCCTAGGAGGATACCAGGCAAAGTTTGGAGTTGCCTCTGGCCAGGCCTGAAAGCTCACACAGGATTCTGGCCTGGTCTCCTCCTGCTCTGGTGATTGGCAAAGCCTCAGTATTAGGAGGTGGCGGGGTCTTGGGTAGTTAGGTCATGAAGGCAGAGGCCTCACGGATGACATTATAAAAGTTATTTCAGGGAGTTCCTTCAACCTCCCCCACCATGCGAGAACAGAGGAAAGATGGCCATCTACAAACCAGAGGCCCTCCCCAGACACCAAACCTGTCGGCATCTTGATCTATACTTCCTGGCCTCCAGAACCATGGAAACAGAGTTTCTGTTGTTTATAGTACCAGTCTAAACCAAGCAGACCAAGATACCTGGAAACATCTTCACTTTACTGGTAGAATCAAAAATCCTATGACCATGCGACCATGTGATCACTTCCTGCTTTCACAGTGTGTTTATTTGTTGCTTTATCCTTTGCCATTAAAGAAATTTTAGGGGCCAGCATTGTGGTGTAGAGGGTAAAGCTGCCATCTGCTATGCCACCATCACACAGGGCACCAGTTCGTGTCCTGGCTGCTCCATTTCCAATATAACTTCCTGAAAATGTTCCTGGGAGAGCAGAAGATGCCCCAAGTGATTGGGCCCTTGCCACCCACTTGGGAGACCTGGATGAAGCTCCCGGCTTCAGCCTGGCCTAACTCTGGCTGTTGCAGCCACCTGGGGAGTGAACTAAAAGATGGAAAATGGATCTCTCTTCCTCTCTAACTCTGACTTTTAAAATAAATAAATAAGAGAGAGAGAGAGATTTTAGATCTTCAATGCAGAGAGGCAGAAAAGGAAATTGTGTGAAACTGATGGCTGTCATTATAACGTCAAACTCCTAACATACTTTAATGGATATGGTTATTTAATGAAAACAGTAGGTAAGTAACAATAAATAAGTGAACAAGTGCCCCCTGTACTTACAAGAGAACATGGGCAACGATGGCATTCTCATCAAACAAGGTGTCCGTAGGGAATTCTCTGAGCAGTATATTTCCCCTAGGAAAGAAGTTTAAAACACAATATAGTTATATTGCCTTAGAATTCAATGTGTCAGGGCTACGTTGTGGGGCCGTGGGCTAAGTCGCTGCCTGTAATGCCAGCATCCAAAGTGAGCATGGTTCAAGTCCTGGCTGCTCTACTTCCAATCAAGCATGGTTCAAGTCCTGGCTGCTCTACTTCCAATCTAGCTCCCTGCTTATGTTGCTGGGAAAGCAGCAGACGATGACCAAAGTGCCTGAGTTCTGCTACTCATGTGGAGACCCAGATGGAGTTCCATGATCCTGGCTTTGGCATGGCCCAGTCCTGGCCATTACAGTCATCAGGGAGGGAACTAGCACATGGAGGATCTCCCACTCTCTCCTCTGTAATTCTGCCTTCACATAAATAAATCAATCTTGAAAAAAAAATTTGATTTGTCTACATTCGTTTCTTAGTTCTTTGATGTTAAAGCCTCTGTCTTATCTATATGCTTATGTACCTTACCAGAGTGCTAGGTAAATAATATACTTTCAAATTTTTATTGTATACTCAGCAATTATGCTGACTTTGAAAAGCTAGGCCACAGATCTGGTCAAAAACTCTAGTCCAAGAAAGGCTTTCTATTGACCTTGCCATTACACAGATTCCCCAAAATGGACAAGGAAGGAGACCAGTAGGAAAGAAAAGAAAAAGAGGTCTCTCCCACTTCCTAAGCCAAATTCCCAACTGAGTCAAGGATCTGAGAAATCTCAGGAAGAGTAGTAGACCCAAAGGCAGAGGAATCCATAACCTAGACATTGAAACATGCCGCAAAAATAGAGGACATTGGCCGGTGCCACAGCTCAATAGGCTAATCCTCTGCCTGTGGCGCTGGCATACTGGGTTCTAGTCCTGGTTGCTCCTCTTCCAGTCTAGCTCTCTGCTGTGGCCTGGGAGTGCAGTGGAGGATGGCCCAAGTCCCTGGGCCCTGTACCCGCATGGGAGACCAGGAGAAGCACCTGGCTCCTGGCTTCAGATCAGCGCCACGTGCCGGCTGCCGGCCACAGCGGCCATTGTGGGGTGAACCAACGGAAAAGGAAGACCTTTCTCTCTGTCTCTCTCACTGTCCACTCTGCCTGTCAAAAAAAAAAAAAAAAAAAGAAGAAGAAGAAAAAATAGAGGACATTTTATACCTAAATGTGGACCCAACATATCTACTCAGAACCCTAAATTTGTTAAGTGCCTACTTACCACACATGTGTGGTAGAAAATGACATAAAAGTGTCACATAACATCTAAAACATCGCCATGACATAGGTATTACTCTTCTCATTTTGTAAGCAAGGAGGCTAAAATGTAGAGACATTAGGGACTAGATCTATTGTACTTTTTACTAAACTTCATATGACTTTACTACATACAACCCTAGTCTGACTTAGTGACATTTTATATCCTTGAATATTATAAAGGCAGAACTTCATATTTGTCTAAAACTTTTTTTAAATTTACCTGAATAAATATGCTTTCATCAAATCTTTGTCTTTTCCACAGTATCTTGAAGTTTCTTCTTTGATACAATTAACCTTTAAAAGATTATATTTAAGGTTTAGAGTACACATCACAAGGCCAACTTCCCTGGTTAGAAAAACACACACAAGAATTAAACACTACAGCTGTTTACAGGTTAAATTCTTTATTTTCCTGTTTTTTTATTTCTACACTACAATGGCCCACTTGTTCAAGTGAATGATGAACCTACAGAAGAAGCGGTTTCCACCCTTAAGCGTTTACATTGACTTCAGTCTTATGGAACATGGAGGAGGTAACCAGGCCAAAAAAAAGGAGAGAGAGAGAGAGACAGTTAAGGAAAGACCAAAAAGGATGCAAAAAAGGCAAGAGGTGCATCTTAGCAGCTAGACCACAGGTTTCCTACCCAAAATGTTTCCTTTTTTTTTTTTTTTTTTTTTTTTGACAGGCAGAGTGGACAGTGAGAGAGAGAGACAGAGAGAAAGGTCTTCCTTTGCCGTTGGTTCACCCTACAATGGCCGCTGCGGCCAGCGCGCTGCAGCCGGTGCACCGCACTGATCCGATAGCAGGAGCCAGGTACTTATCCTGGTCTCCCATGGGGTGCAGGGCCCAAGCACTTGGGCCATCCTCCACTGTACTCCCGGGCCACAGCAGAGAGCTGGCCTGGAAGAGGGGCAACCGGGACAGAATCCAGCGCCCCAACCAGGACTAGAACCCGGTGTGCTGGTGCTGCAAGGTGGAGGATTAGCCTAGTGAGCCGCGGCACCGGCTCCCTTATGTTTACTAAAGGAACTTTGCTTTAAGAAAAACAAACAAACAAACAAACAGTGCCCTATTATAAGGCTGTCCAATAATCCCAACAATCTGAGATGGTAAACAGTGTGAGAAGTCACCACACTGGAATTCCTAGAAGGCTCTTAAAAGGGAGAGGTTGACTGATCCTCTTGCTTTTCACATTTCTTGACACAAAAAGCAGGCAAGACAGTGAGAGCACCAGTAGAACTCGTGTCCATGAGGCATCTTTACAGAAGGCACTGCTTGCTAAGGAAGACGCAACAGAAGGAACGAACTGTGTCCCCAGTGACATAAGGGCAACTGAACCAGCCCTGGGTAGCCTGGAGTCTGAATTCTACATGAAAATATATACATATTAAAATATATATATTAGGCCAGCACCGCAGCTCAATAGGCTAATCTTCCACCTGCGGCGCCAGCACACCAGGTTCTAGTCCCGGACAGGGCACCGGATTCTGTCCCAGTTGCTCCTCTTCCAGTCCAGCCCTCTGTTGTGGCCCGGGAGTGCAGTGGAGGATGGCCCAAGTGCTTGGGCCCTGCACCTACATGGGAGACCAGGAGAAGCACCTGGCTCCTGGCTTCGGATCAGCGCAGTACGACGGCCACAGCGCGCTGGGCCAGCGTACCGCCAGAGCGCCCATTGCGGGGTGAACCAATGGAAAAGGAAGACCTTTCTCTCTGTCTCTCTCTCTCACTGTCCTCTCTGCCTGTCAAAAAAAAAAAAAAAATATATATATATTTTAAAGGCAATCCTGGCAGTAACATGAAGACACAATACAGAAGAACACTAAGAGCCAGGTACAGGAGCACAGGTCAACGATGATGGGCAGAGTGGGCGTTGTGGTGCGGCAGGTTAAGTCGCAACTTGGGACACGCTCACTTCCTTATCAGAGTGCCTGGGATCCAGTCCTGCCTCAGCCTCTGCTTCCAATCAAGCTTCCTGCTCATGTGCCTGGGAAACAGCCAATGACAGTTCAAGTACTGAGTCCCTGCCACCCACATGGGAGACACAGATGTAGTTCCCGGCTCCTGCTTTCAGCTTGACAGCCCTGATTGTTACAAGTATTTGGGCAGTGAACCAGCAGATAGATCTCTCTCTGTTTCACCCCTTTCAGATAAATAAAAATGAATAAATAAACACTTATTTATTTGTGGCGCAGCAAGTTAATGTCCTGTCCTGAAGCGCAGGCATCCCATATGGGCACCAGTTCAAGACCCGGCTGCTCTGCTTCTGATCCAGCTTTCTGCTATAGCCTGGGAAAGCAGTAGAAGATGGCCCAAGTCCTTGAGCCCCTGCACCCACAAGGGAGACCCAGAGGAAGCTCCTGGCTCCTGGTTTCGGATTGGCGCAGCTCCAGCTGTTGCGGTCAGCTGGGGAGTGAACCAGCAGATGGAAGACCTCTCTCTCTTTCTCTCTCTCTCTCTCTGCCTCTCCTTCTTTGTGTAATTTTTCATGGAAAAAAAAAAAAAAAGAAAGAAAGAAATCTTAAAAAAAAAAAAAAGATAACTGGGACTAGAAGAAGAGCCAAAAAGAACAGAAGAGATTCAAGAGACTTTTCACAAATGTTAGAAGACTTAGAATGTATATGCCCCCTTAGGGGCCAGTGCCGTGGCACAGTAGGTTAATCCTCTGCCTGTGGTGCCGGCATCCCATACGGGTGCGGTTTCTAGTCCCGGCTGCTCCTCTTCCAATCCAGCTCTCTTCTGTGGCCTGGGAAAGCAACAGAAGATGGCCCAAGTGCTTGGGCCCCTGCACCCGCATGGGAGACCAGGAAGAAGCACCTGGCTCCTGGCTTCAGATCGGCACAGTTTTGGCCATTGCAGCCATTTGGGGAGTGAACCAACGGAAGTAAGACCTTTCTCTCTGTCTCTTCCTCTCACTGTCTGTAACTCTACGTCTCAAATAAATAAATGAAATCTTAAAAAAAAAAAAAAAAGAAAGAAAGAATATATATGCCTCCTGAGTGGGGGAGCAAAGAGTGAGAGAATGAAGAGGGTCCCACATGAGGCAAATGGGTGGCCACCAACACAAATGACCAAAACAAAAGCTAGAAAAATTTATAAAAGTTATTTTGCTGAGGATTTGGTAAAGATTTTGTTGGTTTTAAGATGGGGATTTGTTGTGCTCGCTTCGGCAGCACATATACTAAAAGATGGGGATTTGTTTCCATTTTGCAAATTAATTTTAATAGATTTTGAGGAAGCAGAAAGACAATTGGGGAAGTGGCCTTTATTCAAAAAGCTACAAAAGGAGAACTAACACTAAGAAAGGATATCAGAAATAGAGAATTAAAAGTCAGAGTACAGCCATACCAAAAATCGTCTCATTCCACATTTTGTTTTAAATTGGAGCATGTGGATAGTTGACATCATGAGAAAAGATCTGTCTGTTCATCCATCAACAGACATTTGAACATCCACTATGTGACAGTCACTGCTCGAGTCACTTGAGTAGAGTTAAGTTCCAAATAAAAAACTTAACCTTTAACCTTACATTCTAAAAGTGGAGACAACTGAAAAACCAACTAATGTGCAACTTAAGTGCTATAAATAAAAAACAGTGAAGGGACGGCAGGTTAGCATGTGTTCTAGATAGGTCATCAGGGAAGGCTCCTCTGAGGTGCTATTTACGCAAAGAACTGAGAAGATGAGATGACACACAAATGTGGGAGAGAAGAGTTCGTGCAGGGAAAATCGCCCATGACAGCCCTGTGGCAACAGCAGGGTCAAGTCACAGAAAGATAATGAGGGACAAAGTGAGCAAGATGGAGAGACAAAGAATGAGATCAAAGCTGAAGATAGTGTCCATCTTACTCAGGAGTTTTAATTTTACCATAACCATAAAAAGACCTTCTGAGCAGGACTGTGCTGTGCTCTGACACAGGTGACTACACATGAAGAAGAATTTGTAGTGGAACAAGAATACAAGAAGAAAGGCAATTTTTATGTTCTTGTGGTTTCCCAAGTGAGAAGTGACGTCGAGGAGGGTACAGGGGCCAGCATGGTTGCATAACAGGTTAAGCCTGTTATGGGTTAACCATATGGGTGCCAGTTTGAGTCCCTGTTGCTCCACTTCTGATCCAACTCCCTGTTAATAGCCTGGGAAAGCAGCAGAAGATGACCCAAATGCTTGGGCCCGTCACCCACGTGAAGATATGGATGAGGCTGCTGGCTTTGGGCCTGGCTCAGTCCTGGTCATTGGGGGCATCTGAGGAGTGAACCAACAGGTAGAAAATCTCTCTCTCTCTCTCTCTCCCTCCCTCCCTCCCTCCCTCCATCTCTAACTCTTTCAAATAAATAAATCTTAAAAAAAAAAATATTTAAAAAAACCGGCCAGCGCCATGGCTCACTAGGCTAATCCTCCGCCTTGCAGCGCCGGCACACCGGGTTCTAGTCCTGGTCAAGGCACCGGATTCTGTCCCGGTTGCCCCTCTTCCAGGCCAGCTCTCTGCTGTGGCCAGGGAGTGCAGTGGAGGATGGCCCAGGTGCTTGGGCCCTGCACCCCATGGGAGACCAGGAGAAGCACCTGGCTCCTGCCTTCGTATCAGCACGGCGCGGCAGCCACTGGAGGGTGAACCAATGACAAAGGAAGACCTTTCTCTCTGTCTCTCTCACTCTCCACTCTGCCTGTCAAAAAATAAAAAAAAAATTTTAAAAAATCTACTTGTATATAATCATATAGCTACTTGCATAGTATATCTTTGCCCTATATATACTCTGAAAATTTCTGAAGTCTCTTAGACACCCATCTAAATATCATACAGTAGGGTTAGGTTACTGTATTTAGCTTAACAATCATTGTATTAACTGGAACTTTTGTTATATTTTAGCATTTTCTTCATCCACCTCTACCTACCGCAATCCTAACTTCTGAAGATAATCTCAAGCATCATTTGCTGTGGCGCCATCCCCAGGGTCATCTGACTTTTCACCTCAATAATTAGATACAGACTTTCTTTCATTTAATCCTCTTGGGCACTTTCTTTGTACCTCTCTTATTACAACGTCCTGCTGGTTTTCCAAAGGATTTGTAGATGTGTTTTATTCCCTGCTACTGAGGATATAAACCCTCTAAGGAAAGGGAATCTTAATTGTCTTTCTACTCAAAATAAAACTAAATACGATGGGCTGATTTCAACATCACATACACGTACTAAACGTTGGCTACATGCCAGGAAAGGTCAGAGTTACAGAGAGAGAGGAGGAGAGGCAGAGGGAGAGAGAAAGAGAGAGAGAGGCAGAGAGAGAGAGAGAGAGAGAGCTAGAGAGAAAGAGAGAGAGAGCGCTAGAGAAAGAGAGAGGTCTTTCACCCAACGGTTCACTCCCTAATTGGCCTCAATGGCTGGAGCTGCATTGATCTCCGAAGCCAGGTGCTTCTTTCAGGTCTCCCATGCAGGTGCAGGGTCCCAAGGACTTGGGCCATCTTCTATTGCTTTCCCAGGCCATAGCAGAGAGCTGGATCAGAAGTGGAGCAGCTGGGACTCGAACCGGCGCCCATATGGGATGCTGGCACTGCAGGCGGCAGCTTTACAAGCTACGCCACAACGCCAGCCCCCTCATTCCCTTTTCTAGCCAACAAACCCTAACCTCACTGTCTAATCGAGATACATACTGATGTTCTCCATAATACCCTGCGGCAAGTTTGAATACTTTTTGAGGAAAAAAATTAAATATATACTTGAAGCTGAGTTGCTGTAAATTTGTTCTAAAAATAAATGTGAGCGGGATGGGCGTTTAGCCTAGCAGTTAGGACACCAGTGTCCCAAACTAGAGTATGTGGCCCTGGCTTTTGACTCCAGCTTCCTGTTACTGTGGACCCTGGGAGGTAGTGGTGATGGCCCAAGCATTTTGGTTCCTGCCATGCATGTGGAAAACCTAGATTTAGTTTCCAGCCCTTGACTTCAGCCTCAGCCCACCCCAGGCCCCTGCAGGCATTTGGGAAGTGAACCAACAACAGGAGTTTCTCTCTGCCTGTCCCTGTCTCCATCCATCTCTCTGTCTTTAAGTCTGACTCTCACATAAATTTTAAAAAGTAAAAATAAAATGTGAGGGGACAGCACTGTGGCACAGAGGCTAAGCCCTTGCCTGTGACCCCAGCATCCCATATGAGCACCAGTTCGAGCTCTAGCTGTTCCATTTCTGATCCAGCTCCACACTAAAGCACACCTGAGAGAGCAGAAGATGGTACCCGTGTTTGAATACCTGCTACCCATGTGGGAGACCTGGATGAAACCCCTGGGTCCTGGCTTCAGCCTGGCCCAGCCTTGGCCATTTGAGACCATTTGGGGAGAAAGCCAACAGATGGACAAACTTCCTGTGTCTCCTTTTCTGTAACTCAGCCTTTCAATAAATAAATTTTTTTTTTTTTTTTTGACAGGCAGAGTGGACAGTGAGAGAGAGACAGAGAGAAAGGTCTTCCTTTGCCGTTGGTTCACCCTCCAATGGCCGCCGCGGCCTGCGCGCTGCAGCCAGCGCACCACGCTGATCCGATGGCAGGAGCCAGGAGCCAGGTGCTTTTCCTGGTCTCCCATGGGGTGCAGGGCCCAAGCACCTGGGCCATCCTCCACTGCACTCCCTGGCCACAGCAGAGGGCTGGCCTGGAAGAGGGGCAACCGGGACAGAATCCGGCGCCCCAACCGGGACTAGAACCCGGTGTGCCGGCGCCGCTAGGCGGAGGATTAGCCTAGTGAGCCGCGGCGCCGGCCTCAATAAATAAATTTTTTAAAAAATAAATAAAATGTGAGAAAATGCAACAGAAATAACAAAGACTTAGAAAAAAGAGTGGGGAAAAAAAAAGTTCTTCAATTACCTCAATTTTAGCCGGCGCTGCGGCTCACTAGGCTAATCCTCCGCCTTGCGGCGCCGGCACACCAGGTTCTAGTCCCGGTCGCCCCTCTTCCAGGCCAGCTCTCTGCTGTGGCCAGGGAGTGCAGTGGAGGATGGCCCAAGTGCTTGGGTCCTGCACCCGCATGGGAGACCAGGAGAAGTACCTGGCTCAATTTTGTTACTTTAGCTCATACTAATAGAAATGTAATAAATAGTTGAATTGTGCCTATCATATTTGTCAGAAAAAAAATTAAAAAAAATAAAAAGCCTAGCAATAGATTTGAAAATGATACCATATTCAAATAGAATGGTTTGTGAAATAAAGTTAAATTCTAAGTTAAGGAATTTTAAATAGCTTTTTCCCAACTATTGTATTGTGATATACATAATCCAAAACTATCTTTCTGGGTTTGAGAAAAAGGGAGAAAATATATATTTCCAGTTTAGAAAAGGATATGAAACAGAAGTATTTTTAGATACTCTGTCTTAAGCCATACAGTTGAAAATGTTTGTCAGTATTATTTTACTACTATTCAATCTTTCTACCTTTGCAACTGAAATTCCATAGTCCTGGAGTGGTCTAACAGCTTCATGTAGCCCTTCAAGAAATACAGATGTACTTGGAGAATCTAAAACAAAAACCATTTTATGAATATTACTTTCTCCTTAAAAGAACAATTTTTAAAAATTAAAATCAAAATATGCCAACACAGAATATATTCATTTGTCCAACCAGCATGCAATAACAAGTAACTAAACATATCTAGTTACATATTTTCCCACCTTGTTCTCCTACTGCCTTTTTATTATTCTTAGGTTTTTAGTTAGGAATAATAATGGTATATTTTAGCTTTGTAAATAGGCTTTAAAACTACCTAAACAAGAATATAATAAATAAATGTTTTATTTAAACTTGACATTGGGGGCTGGTGCTGTGGCTTAGCCGGTAAAGCCACCGCCTGCAGCGCTGGCATCCCATATGGATGCCAGTTCGAGTCCACTTCTGATCCAGCTCTCCGCTACGGCCTGGGAAAGCAGCAGCAGATGGTCCAAGGGCTTGGTCCCCTGCACTGCATGAGAGAGCTGGAGGAAGCTCCTGCAGCTCTGGCTGTTGTGGCCATTTGGGGAGTGAACAAGCGGGTGGAAGATCTCTGACTCTATTTCTCTGTAACTCTGCTTTTCAAATAAATAAATCTTTAAAAAAATAAATAAACCTGACACCTGGCATTATTCTTCCAACTTTAGAACACATGTGTTCACATGACACAAAACTTTAAAGATTTTAAAACACCATTTTAAAAATCACATTTATACTAAAGGAGTCAAAAGAAATGTGGATTCTCTTACTAAACCCACGAATAGTACTTTTAAGGCATAAAGATTTAATCAAGATTATTACAATGACTAGTTAAGGTCACTAGTTTTTATTTGTCAATTTAGTGTAATTAATGACACAGCTAAAACCGAGCATTAAACTAATGCACTGTTAACACTACATTTCAAGTCATAAAAAACTAAAAATATTTATCTGCTACAAGAATGAGAAAATATACTTCCAGAATTGACCAGATGAAATCCAGATATTATAAAAACAGTAAATTCTCGTCTAGCAATTACTACGAACTAAGTGCATGAATAAATGCAATTAGTCCTCACAACAAACTTATAAAAAGCAAGTAGTATTTCTTCATAAGAGATGACAAAAAACAGGGAAACTAAGTGGACTGACCACGGCCACGCCACAGGCCAAATGGCAGAGTCCAGATTCACACCAAGGGAGTCCTATTACGGCAATAGCTTGAAAGCACATATCATTAAACCTGACGGCAAGTTCCCACTGAGCGCAGCTGATTAGAGGTAATAAAAAACATCATGAGAATTGTATGCGAATTTTAAAGATACTCACCAGCTTGACAAAAATAAGCTAAAGAGGCTTTTCCTGGCTGCAACGTACTGAAATACTCATGAGGACTCAGTTCCGGTAGAGAATTTGCTGCTGACTTGTAAAAAATGCACATCGTGACAAAAGAGATCCCAACTCTAAACACACGGAAGCTGGAACACATCACCGGCTGTGTTGCACTTGAGCACGTTTTGTCCCTGTCGGTCACTGCTGGGACAACACCTGGCAAGAAGGTATTCCTCACACTCTTGTTGAATGAATTTGCTAGCTGAATGAATGAAGTAAAATCCAAAGAGAAAAAGTGAAGTCATTACTCATTATCTAATGTTGCTAGTATTTTACTAATAATATATAATGACATTGATTTGCTAATACTATTGATTTTTGATGCTTGCAAAAGGTATCAAAGTTATCTGGAAAATACTTAAGTAACTTCACTCTCAAATACTTACTGGAGCGTGTTAAACTGTTATTTTCAGAGATTCCAAAGTTCAGTCTCAAATATTATCCAATCCACCTTTAAAATTGAATATTACATCCGTATGCACAGTTGACATACAATAAATACTCAAATACTTACCTAATATCATTAACACGGGACTGAGACATACAAAATACAGGACTACTACGCTTACTACCTCTTAGATTTAAGCCCACTGGAATTTATTAAAACTATGTAAGAATGGGGCCAGCGTAGTGGTGCAGCAGGTTAAAGCCCCGGCTTTCGGCGCTGGCATCCTATATGGGCGCCAGTTCGAGTCCTGGTTGCTCCACTTCCAATTAAGCTCCCTGCTGATGCACCTGCAAAAGCAGCAGAAATGGTTTAAGTCTTTGGGCCCCTGTACCCACATGGGAGACCCAGAGTAGACTCCTGGGTCCTGGCTTAGGATCAGCTTAGCTCCGGGCATTGTGGCCATTTGGGGAGTGAACCAGTGAATGGAAGACCTTTCTCTCTCTGTCTCTACCTCTAACTTTGTCTTTCAAATAACTAAATAAAATAAATCTTTTTTAAAACTATGAGAATAACCCTTCAAAATACACATTTTTAATACCAAAGACTTAGATTTCTGTAAGTTGCTTAGAAATTCAAGTAACGGGGCTGGTGCTGTGGCGCAGTGAGTTAATGCCATGGCCTGAAGCACCGGCATCCCATATGGGTGCCAGTTCAAGACCCGGCTGCTCCACTGCCAATCCAGCTCTCTGCTATGGCCTGGGAGAGCATTAGAAGATGGTCCAAGTCCTTGGGCCCCTGCACCCACGTGAGAGACCTGGAAGAAGCTCCTGGCTCCTGGCTTAGAATCGGCACAGCTCTGGCCGTGGTGGCCAACTGGGGAGTGAACCATCAGATGGAAGACCTCTCTTTCTGTGTCTCCTCTCTGTGTATCTCTGACTTTCAAATAAATAAATAAATCTTAAAAAAAAAAAAAAAAAGAAATTCAAGTATCTTTCATTTGAGAGGCAGAAAACAGCCATAAACAGAGAGCTGTCCCATCTCCTAGTCCACTCCCCAAATGCCCAAAATGGCCAGGACTGGGCCAAACTAAAGTTAAGAGGCAGGAACTCAATTTAGATCTTCCACATAGGTAGCAGGGACCCACCCCTTGATAAATCGTCGCTGTATTCTAAGGTCAGTATTAGCAGGACGCTGCAATCAGGAGCAACAGAGTGGACTCAAACCCAGGCATGGTGATATGGGTCCATGGGCCTCTTACCAAACACCTGCCCCATATCTTCTGCTGTTCTAAATATCCTCATCTTCTCCCCTGGTGTACTTACTTCCATGCTATCCTCTGCATCTGCTGTCAATCCTCATTGTCTTCTATTGTTCTATTTCCAAGTTTTCCTTGAACAACTTTAGAAAGTTTATCCACTGATGAGCTGTATTACCTAAGTTTAAAAGAGAATGGTGGCCAGCGCCGTGGCTCACTAGGCTAATCCTCCACCTTGCGGCGCCGGCACACCAGGTTCTAGTCCCGGTCGGGGCGCCGGGTTCTGTCCCGGTTGTCCCTCTTCCAGGACAGCTCTCTGCTGTGGCCCAGGAGTGCAGTGGAGGATGGCCCAAGTCCTTGGGCCCTGCACCCCATGGGAGACCAGGAAAAGCACCTGGCTCCTGGCTCCTGCCATTGATCAGCGCGGTGTGCCGGCCGCAGCACACCAGCCGCGGCGGCCATTGGAGGGTAAACCAACGGCAAAAGGAAGACCTTTCTCTCTGTCTCTCTCTCTCACTGTCCACTCTGCCTGTCAAAAAATAAAAAATAAAAAAGACTGGTTGGGGGGGGTGGCACTGTGGCGCAGCGGGTTAATGCCCTGGGCTGAAGTGCCAGCAACCCACATGGGTGCCAGTTCAGGTCCCCGCTGCTCCACTTCCTATCCAGCTCTTGCTGTAGCCTGGGAAAGCAGTAGAAGATGGTCCAAGTCCTTGGGCCCCCTGCACCTGCATGGGAGACCCGGAGGAGGCTCTTGACTTCCGGATTCAGATCAACACAGCTCCAGCTGTTGCGGCCATCTAGAGAGTAAACCAACAGAGACCTCTCTTTCCTCTTTTTCTCTCTCCTTCCTTCCCTCCCTCCCTCCCTCCCTTTCACTCTCTCTGCCTCTGCTCTATCTCTGCCTTTCAAATAAATAAATAAATCTTAAAAAAAGAATGCTTTAGAAATATTAGTATAATACTTATATTAAAATGTCATATACTTCTAGCAGGCAAAGATATACCCATGTACAGACAGGAATTTTTTTAATTTAATTTCAAATGCAAGATCACCACTTCAAAATAGGTGGCAGAAAAAAAAATAACAAAAAGGTATTTGTAAATAATCATAAGACAGAATTCTTCGGTAAAGTATGAAATAAAAAAAGAAAGCTTTATTGAAAAACCACTGCCATCCACAATCATACATAAGCACATACTCTCTCTCCTAAATGAGCAACTGTTTTTTTAAAGATTTATTTATTTTTTATTTGAAAGACAGAGTTACAGAAAGGCAGAGGCAGAGAGAACTTCCATCCACTGGTTTGTTCCCCCAATGGCCGCAACAGCCGGAGCTGAGCCAATCCAAAGCCAGGAGCCAGGAGTTTCTTCAGTTCTCCCACATGGGTGTCGGGGTTCAAGCACTTGGGCCTTCTGCTGCTGCTTTCTCAGGCCATAGCATAGAGCTGGATCAGAAGTGAAGCAGCCGGGACTCGAACCCGCACCCATATAGGATGCCGGCACTGCAGGAAGAGGCTTTACCCACAACGCCACAGCGCTGGCCCCAACTATTTCTTTAAAAGGAGCTGTTTGTTGATTACTTACTAATAATTCTGTTCATTAGAGCTCATTTATATCGTGAACAAATTCACCATCAATTTTCAACAGTGAGTCAAGAATTCAAAACCACAGGTAAAATGAAGAGGGAGAACTAGGAGAGAGATATATAAATGTAATTTAATGATATAATTAATGGGCATCCATGCCATGAAAATTGATTATACATTATAGCCATTTTTAAACCAGCCTACTTCAAAGCCGCTTTTTATTAATGAGGATGTTTTAAAATAGGTCATCCACTGTTTTCCTTACATTCTGGAGGGAAATGCATGCATTCTATAGGATAAAAGAATAATTATACAACATACATTAGTACACGAAATAGCTATAACCCAATTAAACCATAAAACATTAAGCAAAAGCACAAATGGAAGATTCAAGTATAAAATATCATTTTTCCTGGCCTTGAGGTTACAATGCTATTTTTTTTAACCCTAAGTCAGACATTAAGTTTACTCATTCTTCTTTTCCCCCAGAACATATTTTGAAGCACCTAAAGGTCTAACCATACATCCAGTTTTTGGATACCTATGTGAAAGTACTGTGCACCTGGGCCATTGGAGACATTGGGAATTACTGCTACTTATTTTTAGGGACAAGAACTCTATTAATCTCTGCAGCTTTGTTCCATCTCTGATAGTATTTGATCATTTAAAAAAATACTTAAAGAATACAATATAGGTCATCTAGAAACAGAGTTTACAGCATCACAATAACTTAAACATTGAGAGGATGAGGAGACAGGGTTAGGGAGCTTGCAGTTGAGGTGGGAAAAGGGATGAAAGATAACTAAATACTCAACTTTCACAGACCAAATCCCAAGATTTTTTTGGAAATAAGAAGGTCAATGCCGAAACAATGAACAAGTGGAAGTAAATTTTCCTGTTACGGAAAAAGCCACTGTGGGGTTGGAGGGAAGAGACTTTTGAAATCTTCAGAACCATTTGCCTAAATAGGGTATATTTTCCCTTCGATTCGGGAAGTTATTATACCCTCCACCTCCTCTCCGTGGCCATCAAGCAGCTTACTGTGACCAATAAAATGTGGGCAAAGCAGCTTATTCTTGCTCAGTCAAAGGCTTTAACAGCTACTATGTGATAACACCAGACTTTATTTTCTTGTTACAGTCACCAGAAATGCCTAACCGGTGGCTAGTGTGCCAACGTGGGCACAACAGAGAGAACCCCCAGCTGATGTGCAATAAGCATGTGATGTAAGAAAGAAGTCGTGTTTCCAGCCACTGAGATTTGAGGGGCACTGGCACACAAACTAGAGGGGAGACTGCTGCCTTCCTAAAAACTCCAAACCCTGGCTCAGAGGCCAAGTGGCAAGGACAGTGTTCTGGGCTTACTCAAGCCGACATTTATCAGAGACTGGAGCTCAGCCAGTGATCCACAGGAAGGAGAGACAAAACGTTTGATAAAACTGTCACTTTAATAACTTGGGGATGACAGGTAACTGATGAATTTATAATGAACCTGTACTGAGTGCATGTAGCTGATGAACTTACTTGTAGGCTTCTTAAGAGAAAAAGCTAGAGGACAGAAGATTAGCACTGGTTGCTGTTGGTTGTGCTTAACAAGGTATTAAGTGAAAGATACTCAAGGGGTCAAGGGGCTAGCATTGTGGCGCAGCAGGTTAAGCCACTGCTTGCAACGCTGGCATCCCAGCCTTGGCCGTTATGGCTATTTGGGGAATGAACCAGCAAATGGAAGACCTCTTTCTCCCTCTCCCTCCTCCTCCCCCTCCCCTTCTCTCTCATGCTCTCTCAACTAAATAAGCACATCTTAAAAAAAAGAAAGAAAGAAAGAAAAGAAAAGAAAAGAAAAGAAAAGAAAAGAAAAGAAAAGAAAAGAGAAAAGAAAAGAAAAGAAACGAAACGAAATGAAAACAAAGAAAGAAAGAAAGAGAACTACAGAACTCAGAGAAGAGTCGTCTTCCAAGAGACCAACTGTACAAAAGGTCAAACAATCCTAAACCCTGCCCCAACCTTCTTTGGTCATGAAGCTGACTTAACTTCTAACTTCCCAGCCTCTGAAAGAAGTCATCTTCCCCAAAGCCAATGTCAGATGTGGTCTGGGATAATAAAAAGGAAGGAGCCGTCACTAGCCAAGGACCACAGAGAACGATGCCCCTGGGCAAGTGCAGATGAGAACGAGTTGTTTCTGATCTGCAACAATGAGCTAAATACAGAAATTGAGTAGAAATGCTTAGAAGTGTTTACAGCAATCTCATGCTGTAATTCTTTGTCCGTTAAATCTATTTTAAAATTGGACTTGTAATTCAATATTTTTTATTTCACTTTTTGTATGATTTCTTTTTATTTTGTGTTATGGTTCCGTAAGATTTGGCTCCCCAAACTCACAGATGTTTAAACCCTAAGGTTTTATGTTAACAGTTAATGGATTGTTAGCTTGAAGGTTTAGGGTAAAGCCTGGATCCAATTATAGCGCCTGAAGGTGGGGTCTCGGGGAAGGGATTGGATGGGGTTAGGCTGCTAGGGTAGGGCCCCGTGATCAAATCATGATGGCCTCATAATGGAAGGCGAATGAAGAGTGTGTTCCCTGTCACTCTCTGCTTCCTGGCTTGCTTGGGGTCATCCCCCCACTACCTCTAGCTTCACCAGATGCCTGAGACAATGGGGAACCCATTCCTGAGCCTCCCTCCTTCCTAAGAACCTAAGGAGCATCTGAGAACCTGAAAACCTAAGCAGCACCTCTTGGGTATTTTAAAGTAATATTACCAAATGTTCAAATTAGATTTTTTTTTTTAGAAATTGGCCTGAGAAAATCCAAGGTAACCTGTGCACCTGGATGGTGGAGGGATGAAAGGACGATCACATGACAAGCCAGAAAGTAGAAATGGAGAACACCTCCTCATCCACCCTCTAAGTGATCGCTCCTTAAGAAGTCATCATGATTCAATGGATCATGGAGCTCTGCCCTGGAAACCTAATCCAACCCAATCACCCCCATGGCCCCATCTCCAACCTTTCCCAGGCAGATTTCATGTGCAGACTGCTACAGCGTGAAGTCTGGTATCTGTAAAGATCCTGGACATTGAACTCACCACAGTGAGTAGCTGGGATGTTAGATCATCTCCACTGGGTAGTCATGGAAGGGCAGCATTGTGGACAGGAAGGGTAGACTGCATATGGTAAGACTGGATTTCCCATCTTCCTTGAGTTAGGAATGGCCAACACTCACTTTGGCCAATAAAATGTGCAAAGTGACACAAGTAACTTCTGGATGCGTTTATGAGTCACCATACATGCACTCTAAATCATGACACAAGTTCCTCTGCTATGATGACCGATAACATTCAAAATGAGGACTTCTCTGATCATCTAAGTCCCAGAAAGAGAGTAACAGGGCGCAAAACTTCCAGATGACTCAGTGTGAACATAAAATAAACTTTTGTTCTAAGTTCATAAAGTTGGAGGTAATCCCAGTGTAACTCAGCCTAGCCGTACAGATACGTCTGCTCTTAGTAACAGGTAGGAGGAGAATGACATGAACATACAATACATATCCCAGATGTTAAAGCAGGATATTTCCAAGAATTCACAGAAAATTGACCCAATTCCTTTCATTGTAGGAAGACCGTAAAATGGAAGATGACTCTTTAAGATGCAACTGACTGTATATCACAGTATACATCAATACCGAAAGGAGGCAGAAGCCATAGGCAAGTGTTTTTGTTTGGCTTTTTTTTTTTTTTTTTTTTTTTTGACAGTGAGAGAGAGACGGAGAGAAAGGTCTTTCTTCTGTTGGTTCACCCCCCGAATGGCTGCTACGGCCGGCGCTTTGCGCCAATTGGAAGCCAGGAGCCAGGTGCTTCCTCCTGGTCTCCCATGCGGGTGCAGGGCCCAAGCACTTGGGCCATCCTCCACTGCCCTCTCGGGCCACAGCAGAGAGCTGGACTGGAAGAGGAGCAACCGGGACAGAACCAGCGCCCCAACCGGGACTAGAACCCGGGGTGAGCCAAGTGAGCCATGACACCGGCCTGCAAGTGTTTGCATAGCATGTTTGCCGATACAACACACACATGCCTCCCAACTAGGTACAGACTTACTGCTTCCTCCTGGAAGAGTCCTCAAGTCCTCACTATGATGTACTGACAACACCAAACATAGTTAGCATGTAAGCTGTAACTTTGTCTCATCACTAAACAAGTACACACACACAGGCCATTTAAATGATGGAGCCAACAAGTCACATGTAACTAAGGACAAACGCCAGCATAAGGTACAAGCACAGTAAGATCAAGTCAGTGAGGCTACAGTACAGAAAGGGCTAAGGCTTGCAAATAAAATGCTAAAGGCAACAAAAGTGGTTTTTGTTCAGCACTAGAATATTAAAGCCTCCAGGGGCCGGTGTTGTGGCATAGCAGGTTAAGCCTCCGCCTGCAATGCCAGCACCCCATATGGGCGCCTGGGTTCAAAACCCAGCTGCTCCACTTCCAACCCAGCTCCTTGCTAACACACCTGGGAAAGCAGCGGAAGAACCCAAGTGGGAGACCCAGAAGAAGCTGCAGGCTCCTGGCCATCTGGGGAGGGAACCAGTGGGTAGAAGATCTCTGAGTCTCTCCTCTTTGTAACTCTTTCAGATAAGGATTCATTCATTTATTTTTTAAATTTATTAAAGCAAAAACAGAAGGAAAGCCCCCAGACAGCATCAAGGAGGCAGTATTTCCAGAGAAAAATGCTAACGGGTCTTCCTGGGATTCAGAAGACAGGTGCTTTGTCTTTATGTGCTCCTAGGGTAGGGGAAACAGCTGGTGGTCCTCTCTAGCTAAACTAATCCCACCTGGGGACTGGGTCTGAACACAGAAATACGCAGTTCTACTTTCAAATGTCTGCCCCCTCTGACCAACAAGATCAACTCTTGTGCCCTGGGACACATTTAAATCTTAGAGGACTTGCCAGCAAGTGTTTTTAGATCGCTTTCTCCTTTATAGGCCTAAATTTCCCCTGTGATTAAACATAAAATTAATGGCTTGTCCTCTCCGGAAAAAAGAAATTGACAACTTCAACTATTAAATAAATTTTATCAACATCTGTGGGCACAGTTCTCTGGGGGGAAAAACGCATTTCACATTTTCCAACAAATGGGGCATAGAATGTTTACAACGTTCCTGCAAGAACATTCTGCCAAAAATTAGCTTACGTACAGTTTCATGTTGCTACTGCTGACAGACGGCTCACCGAGCCAGCCTCAGATAAAACGTTGAGGGGATCCCCATGGCTTATCAGATGAGCCCCAAAGGATGCAATCAAAGGAGCCAAACACCTCTCTACTTCAGAGCCCCCCTCCAAGTGGCTGAGAAGAAAATACTCTCTGCACCCCCATACTCAGCTCCAAAATGGAAGCAAGGAGGCCATCGAGCTTTGCAAAGGGCAAAGCTGAACAACCAAAGTCATGAAATCAGTATGAACCCTACCCGGCCGCTGCTTACCCTCACCATGAGCAGGGAAGGTGCGAGAAAACGAAAAACCCTTCAGGAGAAAACCACCCTCCCAACCTGACACTTGCACCTCACTGATTGCGGAACTCATACAAACAGGCTGTGCCCGACAACAGGTGGTGGCCCTGACTTTGACAAGTGTCTAAAATCACTTAATTCTGATTTTATAATTAAATGTTTAAGCACATAACTGCAATTACCTCACTGCAGTCATGAGCGCGCTGTCCCCCTGCTGGAAGAGAACTGTGTGCTGCTCCAACCGCACTCTTTAAGAATCCGTAAGGTGGATAAGGATTCCAATCAACAGCTCTTTCTCCAGAGGAAGACTGTGGCACGGGGTCTGTAGTACCCTAATGTGCAATGCACTGCTCAGCCTGCGCAGCCAAACATGTCAGTTGAGGGATCTCCAAGTTTGAAAGCCAGACCTCAGATGGCATACCTGTGTGCCTAGGTGCACACCTAAAGAGAGACTCAGCTGCTCAGGGGAGGGGGAAATACTTTTCTGGGGCAAAGAACTGCTCAGGACTGTGTCTTCGTTGCGCAAGTGGACAGCAGTGTCTTTCATCCTAAGGAGAACACTTCCTCTTAATCTTGCACTACGGCGCTCATTTTATTTCCAAATGCAGAAAAGGCCAACGATGCTCTTTGCTGGGTCAATCCACGTTGGAAGACCCACGTAGTCCTCGCTCATTTACAGCGCTGCCTTACTGTAGCATCTACTTTGTGTCACTCCCAGCCCCAGGAACCGCGCCACCACGTACCATGAACGGGACCAGACTTCGATACCTGCGGAGTGGGAGCTCAGACCATCAGCTCGCCCTGCCAGCATCCGAGATTTTCCCAGGATTTACTCCCAGAGCATCTTCCCAAACTCTCCAAGAACCACCTTTCGCCTGCTCGTGTGCCTTCAAATCCAAGTGATCCTGACACCACTCTTTCTCTTAAGGGGCCCTTTTCGTGGGAAGGGTCCTTTGCTTAGAGTGTGGGTCCCTTCCCCCTGCCCCCTCGGTGGCTTCTTGCCACTTCCCCCCAGAAAGGTCTTAGCGTTGCCTCGCGTTCTTGCAGCGAAAAGGCCATGCCCCCCTAAAGAAGGGCCCAGGCGAGGCCCGGTCCGTCGGCACCCACAGCTCGGCGGCGCGGCGCTGGCCCGAGGAAAGCCGCATCCCTGAGGGCTGACACCACAGCCCTAAGCCTGGAGGACCCACGCTGTCACGCACCTGCCGAGACCTGCGTGCAAGGCACGCGGGCGGGGACGCGCGGGCCACAGTTCCCACCAGCACGCCACGGAGAAGCAGGAGGCGGGGCGAGGCCGGCCGTCCAGGCCACCGGCAACCGAGTCTCCTACCTGGGACCGCGCAGCGCCGCCGCCTTCCCCGCCCGTGGCCACCACCCGCTCGGACTCGTCGGCCTCCAGGGGGCGGGGCGGCGGGGACAGAAGCTCCTCCTTCTCCTCGTGCTCCCTACGTGAAGGGTTCCCCAGCCAATAGGAAGCGCGAGGGGCGGGGAGCGCGCCTCCCCAGGTGACAGCCGACCACCGAGTCCTCCCGCCCGCGCCAGTGGGCCTTGCGCTTGCTGAGCCAATCAATAGCGCGGCTGGGCAGTGAAGGGGAGGGAGAAAACGGGGAGCGAGAACGCCCAATCAGATCTCCCGACCCTCGAGCGACGGTTCCCGCAGCCCGTGGCCTTCCGAGCGCGGCGCCCAGGGGGCGTGCCCGCCTGGGCCAATCGGCGTGAGCCCACGGTGCGGAGCGAGCGCCTCAAATGCTCGGGTTTCTCAGCTGATTGTCTCCAGCCGAGAGTTGTTTTTTGCAGCTACGGAGCCGAGCCGCAGCAGGAGGAGCCGAGACCCCCGGGGAGGGGGTGGGGGGTGTTGAGGCTAGTAAGTTTAGTCCTGGGGTTTCCGCTTCTGATTTGCCCCTAATGTTCCGGGTCCTGTCTCTGTCGCTATCTCGTAGTCGCAGTCTGGTGTGGGGCGACTTGTACTCAGATTAATAAATGAAGGGGGTAGAACGATGCAAAATCCCAATTATGGGAAACGTTGACATACTGAGGTGAATTGCGGATGAACTTGACCATTAGTTAGGGCCTGAAAAATCGCACTGTATAGGTGTATCAATACGCATCGAGAGAGCCCACCAGAAAGAATCT